AAACGAGTGGAGACAGTCTCACGAATACAGCCGAGAGAAGTACGTCTAGAAGCTCATATGTCATCCTTGCAGAAGTGCAATAAGCCTCGCCAGAGATTGCTGCAAAGTTGATGGTGAACTTGTTAAGAAATTTTACAGCTATCAGTAAAGCATTAACAAAGCACCGCAGAATAAGATTAACAATTCCGGGGGCATCTTCTTGTTTTGCACTATCAACAGCAGCACGCACAAAACGGACTACACAAATAATCAGTCCAGAGAAACATATCGTTCCAGATGATGGACCAAATGCATTTCTGCCAACCACAGATATAAGGTGAGGAAATGTGTCAGTTAGTGATTACATGTAAATGTGTGGTCAAGAAGCTCAAGAAAGAGAATATACATTTTTTTTTTGAAATGAAGAAAGAGAAGATACAATACGATCGAAAAGTCACAAAACGGAGCATGAATAGACTAGTAATGAAAATATAATTGCGTCGCATGTCAACATGAGATGAGTTTCAAGCTTAAAACTTTTTCACAGGAAAACAAAAATCAAACAGAACTCAGTGGAAGCATAACAAGCCAAGAGATCAAAACTTTTTTTGTTGGTAAGCAACTTCATTTGCACCAGAAGAAAAGGCATAGGCACCTAATTGACAAACCTTGACAGCCATGGCAGTAGCTAGGACAGCAGCTACCAATATAAATCTACATGTAAACTAATCCAAATTTGGAATACAATAACTTAAGCAGGACCTGAGAACATAAAACTATTTTAAGCTTCAAGAATTGGCTACGCAACCCTGTCCAAATACCCAAAGCAAGGGTATATTCAACAGTTCAGAGATTGGAGCTGAATTCAAGTCCCCCAACTTAAAGACACATCCATATCCTAGTTCAAGGTCAAGATCAAAGCTCAATTTCATTTCCAACACAAGCTCAACAGTCTATAGGAATCAATGATTGCTGAGTGTTTCAAAGACACCAGATTGACAAACTAATGGGTGCTGCGCGCCCACGTTACTTCTTGCCCAAATAAAGCCTATGCAGCCATGCCAAAAGACAATCTCTGCCATCCGGAAGAAATGAAAATCAACATCCCCCCGTGTGCATCATGAACTGCCAATGCTTCATAAAATATTTCACCTATTTTGCAATGTGATAAAGTAAACAAGCAAATCAAGAGAGGAAGGTAAACTGACAAAATTTACGTGGTCCGATCAAGGTCCGTGAAAAAGTATGAATCCAAATTCACTATAATTTGCTCTAGAAATAATAATTTCTTTCAAATATGAGCTCCAGTACACTAAAATCTCATAAAATAACTTATAAATCAGTTCTGATGCTAAAAATAGACTTAATCCAACAACTATGATCTAAAAATGTTAAATTTTGAACTTTGAATCAAGAAGCACAAAAGTCAAGGCCAATTGCTACTGTAAACTTGGGGGAAAAAAACCAAAACAACACATAGAAGCACAAAAATACATCTTAACAAAGAAAGGAAAAGCAGCAAATCACCTCAACGAATTTCTAATGCTCCGCTTGGGAGTAGATTCCTCTTTCGAAAAATACCACTGTGCAATAGTTCCACTGATGACATAAACCTGGGTTTCCACCATTACAGCCCAAGACCAGAGCATCGTAAGGGTGGCCAATGTATAGTACGCCGGCACCCAGCTGTCCTGCTTCCAAACACACAGGAATTCTCCATCGGATTCTCGCGGCACAATCTTCCCATTAAATCTTGAAAACACCAAGAACACTACAATCGGCACGTAGTAAATTACCAAACCGATAACCAACAATGGCAGCACCAAAAATAAGCCCAAATTCTTCGATAATGCATCTGAGGCAACCCCGATTATGCTAATAGTCAACTGGATTCTGTGCCAATTAGCAATAAATATCCAGATAATTATTCCAATAGCAAAAAACACTAGCACAAGGACCAGAATTCTGTAAGCCAGAGGGAATGCATCGCGACAAGTAGGGCTAACAGTGCAAGCAACGAACCAGTAAACGTCGAAGAAGATTGGCAAGACGACGAAGAAAGGAAGGGTCGCATATACAATCTGTTTAGCATAATGTTTAAGAGCTAAAAGCAGAAGAAAACATATGGGCGCGCTTAAAACCAGAGTTACCACAAGGGTCCATGTCAAATCCTTCAAGAAAGAAGTTGAACTCGAAGAAGATAACAGCTGAGCACCGAGGACCCAGTAATCCTCAGCTGAAGATGACAGAGAAAGCGAGGTTTTAACGCAGGAAGTCGAAGCAGGGTCGTAAGTATAGGAAGAGAGGCTGCTGTAGTTGGTGTTCCTGTGGAAGATTGAGAAGATACCAAAAGCGAAAGTGAAGATCACCGTGAGGACGAAGAGAATGAGGAAGGGAAGGTCCTTGAATGACCTGGGTCCGTAATTGTAAGAGATCTGGAGGTAGTGGGTCGGGTCAGGCTCCTCCGGGTCAACTCGCAGGGGCGGTTCTTCGATTGCTGAGATGGGCTTGGAGAGAAGCGGCTGCGACGCTGTACCAGAGTTGTAGAGCGAAACTGGTTTACTGCCGGGTTCCTCTTCAGCGGCGCTCATTTTAGTTCGGCAGAGTCGGGTTTTGCAGAGAGAGCAAGTACTGTTCCAGATAAGAGAGCAGAGAGAAAGGAGAAAGAAGAAGAAGATGATGGTGGTGGGATTCAGGGTCTGACGGGTTGGTGGTAGGCGAGCTGGAAACCTTTTCTATTAATTTAATTTATGTTTATTTTTTGTTTTATTTGGGTGTTGACTGTGTATGGATGAAGAAAGAAGATGCTGGGGTTGGCGGTGGTCGGGTTGGGAAGAAGATGGCATAGGCGATGGCGATATATTAATCAGATGATAATTACGCTAATAATGATAATTAAGAATAATGATAGTGATAAATTTATATATAAATTTGCCAAATATTTTTGTTCGTATTAAACTTTAATTTTTTAAAATAAAAAAAAAAAAGAAAAACAAAACTTTAATTTTTGGCATATTACTAAATTAGATTAATAGTTTGATAAGTTCATAATATTTATGGAATTTAGAATTTAATTTATTATCATCTTCAAATTAAAATTGTATTTTTGATTAAAATAAGTATGAAATTAACATTAAGTGATTGTTTACTAATTTAACATTAACAGCAACTAATATTTTTTGACAAATAATTTATATTTTTATTTAAAATTATATTATTATTAATATAAAAATATTAAATATACTTGTGCTCAAGTGATGAGGGCCACCTAATCCCATAAAATATGCAAATTAAATATATTTTATTTTATATATATATTTTTTTTAATTTAAAGTCCATTTGATTTACTTTTGAAATAATTCCACTTTTTAAGATGCGATTACTTGGTTAATAAGTGAGAGTAAATTCATCATAAAAAATGAAGTTAAGAAATAAATTAATTCTTAATTAATTAATTAGAAATTAAACTTAAAAGAAATAGTTCATCATATATGAGAAAATTGAAGTAGAAGATACCATTTAATCAGCCAAAAATAAAAAATTAAAAGTCAAATTGGTTGTTTCTGCAGGAAGCAAGCTCACCAGTTCTTTCTCTCTGGTGTGTGTGTGTGTGTATGTGTGTATATATATATATATATAATTCATTATTGCAATTTGCTTTTTTTAAAATAATGAAATAGATTAACATACAGCTGGTAAATTTCTCAGTTAATAAAATTAACATTTATTTTTTTACAAAGTAACTAAAATGTGAATATATTTTACTCCGTAGTAATTTATTATTTTAATTAATACACAATAAATAAATAAATAAATACTTTTTTTTATAAATGATTATATTATCTAAATATAAATTTTCAAATTACTGAATAACCATTTTATTTTTTTTTAAAAAAAACTATATATTATAATGGAAAATGAAAGTCAAATTACATATACGTTCTCTCAATTATTAGGATTTAATTAGTGTTTTAGAATAAATAAATGTCAGAGACCTTCATGCTTTCTTTATAAAAAACCAAACAGGCATTTATGAATTTGACGTGGTGAGTTTCTCTTCCAAGCTTACCTTCTACTACAGTTTCTATCCATGGATGACTCGAAAAGGTGACTTCCTTTTAACTCAATTCAATCCAGAACTCTTTACTCTATATATTCATATATACCTACATATATGTATAATCTTGAGATTTCTGAGATGGGCAATGGAGTTTTTCGGGTTTCCAGGGTTGAAGATGTTGTGACTGTCGATGTGAAGGTTGCCAAAGACCTCCTCATATCGGGACATCGGTACCTTGATGTCAGGTAATTTTTCATTAATATACAGTTAAATCTATAATCTGTAAGCCAAATCCCATCATACAAGTCCGTAGTATTGTAAAGATATGAAATATCAATGAATCTTGTCAAGAAGAAAAGTTTATAACTGAAGAACCATAAGTAATCTGTCGCATTAACAGGACAACAGAGGAGTTCATGAGAGGACATGTTGACAGTGCCTCGAACGTTCCTTACATGTTAAGCACACAAGAAGGTAAATATGCATAATTTGGATGTATAGATATAATATTTAGTCTAATTCTATATGTATACCCAGGTAAAGTGAAGAACCCAGAATTTCTCAACCAAGTATCGTCAGTTTACAAGAAGGATGATTTCTTGGTCGTGGTAAGAATTTCTCAACCCAGAATTCCTTGATAATAGAAATCAAATCCCATTCTTGATTGAGTAAGAGTTAAACAAGAATTAAACCAAATGCAATTCGACAGTTCTGTTTGACTAATTTCAAGAATATAAAAGAGCAAAAGAAGGCCTAGTTGAAATGAAAACTTATCCGAAAGATATCGTATCACTGAACTATGAAATTAAGAATGCATGACAGAGCTGGATGAAAGTAATGTTAAAACACTGTCTGCTGTCTCTAACCTCCGTTCTGTTAATTATGGTGAAGGCCTGCAATTCTGGAGGAAGATCGATCCGTGCTTGTGTTGATCTTCTAAATACAGTTAAGTAATCCTTGAACACTTCTCCCAAATGTTTAATTCTAACAAAAATGAATAAGGTTGGTTCATACTAGGCTAAAAGAAATCTGCCAATTCATCACACGTTTATTCTCTCCAATTTTTCGATTGTGACTGATTGAAATGAAAAAGGAAAATCTTTGGTTGGAGGCAGGGCTATGAGCATGTGAGTAACATGGGAGGAGGTTACTCTGCATGGGTTGACAGTGGATTTGCAGGAGATAAACCAGCAGAAGAGCTCAAGACTTCCTGCAAATTTCGCCCATGAAAACAGTTGTGTTATGTCTTATAAATTTCATTTGCATGACATATCAAGCAAAGTCTAAAAGTGTGCTGGATTCTGATTTGTAATAAAATTCAGAGTTTGAAACAATATGTGAGTGAGCAAACAAGTTATCAGCAAAATAAAAATGTTAGATCTCTAAAAAACGAGAGTCCTAATGTTTTACTTTTTCCTGTATTGCTTAACAATGCGTGCTGAGCTCACAGCCTTGATCATTTGGATATTAAGCTGCTTCTCTCACTCTAACAGGTAAAAAGTAAGAGGAAGGGGAAGAAACTAGATGCACAAGCCAGAAAGTGAAGTGAAGAAAGATCATTTCATTCTGATTAGTCAAAACTGATAATATTCGTATTAATAACAGTTATACAGTAAGAAAAAAAAAATGAAGCTACGATATTTCCCAGAAGAACCTAATACAATATTTCCAGGAAGAGCCTAATACTCTAGGATGTAAATCATGACAAAAAATTTCATGGACATGATACAAGAGAACCAATTATCCAACAAGAAATCAGCAAAATCAACAGAAAAAACTCTGCTGTAAATATAAGAAGATTTTTCATCTTTCCTCATCCCACTTGCTCTTTGGTATCTCTCCAGAATCAGCTATTACAACTTTCTTCCTGGGTTTCCCACTGTAGGTTCCAGCTCCTCCTTCAATGGCAAACACGGTATCCATGCCTTGAATTACCTTGCCAAAAACCACATGCTCTCCATCCAACCTAGATTGTTAACACAAACATTATCGCACTCACAACATAAGTTAACCTAGGAGCAATCATGATGCAGCAATAACATAAGCCAAACGGCCAATGGCCAAGCATATATTTTCACAAAATTAAATTGCTGCTCTTTGCTCACCCGCTCCCAAAAAAAAAACAATATGTAGATGATAGAATTACTGAACATCAGCCTTGTCCCAGACCCACCCTCCAAACAAGAGAAAAACACATATTGATAGGTCCTAAGCTCTTGAAAACTACAGTTCCGAGGGTCACTATCACCCCCAGTCAATTCTATATTCTAAGAGAGAAAACATATGCAGCAGAGAACCAAAGAATATCTTACCAGCTGGCCTTGACAGTAGTAATAAAAAACTGAGAGCCATTGGAATCTGGCCCTGAATTAACCATGGAAATAACACCTGCAAAAGCAGTCAATAATTAATCACAACAAAGTAAAGCATCAGACTTGAAGATTGAGAGAAACGAAGAGATCAGGGTAGTCGAAAATATTAAAAAGCCCAAGGATCTTGTAAACCGAATCAACAAAATTGAGTAAACTAGTGGTAGTCAATGCACCTGCATGCGAATGTTTTATCTTAAAGTTCTCATCAGGAAAGGTGCCACCATATATTGAGTCATATCCCTTCCCATCACTAGAAACTATATCTCCACCTTGAATCATGAATCCGGGTACTATGCGATGGAATGGTGTCCCCTTATAATGGAGAGGCTTTCCACTAGAACCCTTGCTTTTTTCCCCTGCACTTGACAAAGGAAAATGTAAAACGGAACAAATTAATAACAAAAACTCCTAGGTTGTGATATGATCTGGTGTCCAATAAGCAAACTATTGAGAGAAGAAAGCGGCCCCAACTACCTGTGCATAAAGCCCTGAAATTTTCTGCAAAAGAAACAAATCATACATGAGGCAATCACACATCATGCACATATACCACGTAGTTTAGAATATCTGTGACTAGCTGGTTATCGATTTAAATAAATATTTGGTAGATCCTCAAATTATTTGCAGAAAACTGAGCACATACCAACAGTCTTTGGTACAACTTCACCATATAATCCAATTACAATTCTGCCTGCAAAATTCAGATGTAAATTTCAAAATTAAAAATAGAGGTATATTAGAGGACTATTTAATTCACTTCAAACGCCAATATCTTCTGTTTAGTTGTGAATAAAGAAGAAGGTATCTCTTCATCACAGATTGATAGAAGAAAATACAAAAGTTATACCTTGCCGTTGATCCTCAATATCCACATCCAGGTACACCCTGTGAGTAATTTCATATGTCTCCTCAACATTCTTGTCTTCAGCCTAAGCATCAATTTGGAGGACGAAATTCATAAGAACAATTCACAAAGCTATATTTTTTATGATGACAATCAAGTTCCAGTTAAGTATAACCTACATTGAAACAAACCAAACACAAATATCCAATAAAATTTTCATGTCATACATATAGATCTTTTTTTTTCAGGAGTCATACATGTAGACTCATTTATTGCAAAATAAATGATGTTATAGAAATTACAAATCTATTTTTAGAATAAGAAACTGAGGAACTTTCCACTACCGCTCACCTCAGCTGTAACACAGACTAACACAATTATTATAGCCTGCTACTATAATTCGACACAAGGATTAACCATTTAACCGTTACCAAACTTATGGAGAAGCACACGACTAACCAATAGCAAAGCAAACCTAACACACCTCTTAGTCACAGCTGAATCAAATTAAACAACCTAGCATCATAAGAAAAATAACAGTGCTTCAGACTAAAAAATTTTGCTAGTATTTCAAGCATAATACCCAGAGCTTCGAACTCTTACAGAAATTTCCACCATCTTTCCACTTAATCATCAGTGCACAATTTCCTCAAAGAACCAATGATCAGCCATATCTTTAAAATGGAAACTAAAAAAAGGATAACTAGTTTTAACTATTCTTCTCTCCCTGACCTGCAATGCAACATGAGCATGCTAAAACTCAAGCAAATGCAGCATGTTTCCTAAAAGAAATATTGAAATTCTACTACTATCAACACTTAAGAATAAAACCCCCAAGGGGTCTCTCCTACATTCCTAGAATATGGCCGGTAGTTGCACATACATGAATAATAGCTGAAAGTGGTATTGCTCCTTCAGTCAAGAAAGAATGCTGATGCCAACAAAACCAAGAACAAAATCTAACATTCTAGCACTCCTTCGAAAGACTTAAGAAATAGCTTCCATCTCAATAACCCAGCTGAAGAAAGTTCTGGAGAAATGATCATATGAAGCAGGCTAAAACAAATTTGTCAGGAAATATAGATGATCAAATCCTAAAAGAGCTGCTTCTTTCGTTGACCAGAGAAGTATGCCTCACGGGTTACTGTTTGGAAACTAAGAATTTAACGCAAAGCAGACAAAATCAATGAAGATCGAAAGAAGAAAAACTTTTATGGCACAAATCAAACGACACTAAACTCTTTAACTACAATTACCAATCAAAGACAACAAATGCATTGTCCATTTCCCGGTGGCCCTAAATCAACAATCAATAAGTTCCAGAACAACAACAAATCCGCGTCAGAGAAAACTCCCTAAACCCAAGTGAAACAATAAAAACCGAAGTGAAGAACGACCCACGTAGCGTATTAATCCAAATGGACAGTACAAAATGTCTAAGCTACAACCAGATCGGTAAATTGAACCCCCAAAAAAACATTAATGGGTTCTAGAGAAAATCAGAAAGAAGTACCTTTTTGGAGCCGGAGATCGCGAGAAAAAGGAAAATTAAGAGGGAAACCAAGAGAAAAAGATATCGGGGTTGGAACAAAACCGAGATCTCTCGGCGCATCTTTGCTTCTCTCTAATTCATTTAACAACAAAACAGACCTCGACTTTCCCGAATGTCCATTGAAGAATCAGGACAAAGTTGCGCCTTTAACTCTCTCTCGAAATTTTGTCTCTTTTTGCCCGAAAAGCAATCGAAGAAAGCACCGTCTGTCTCAGTCGTTCCTGTCAATGGTCTCCGCGACAAGAAATATAGAGGGCTGACGATGGCGTACCAATTTCGTTCAAAGTGCTGAAGAGTGAAGAGTGGGGAAGTTCAGGGTCGACATGGCAGAAATTAATTACCCAAATTCCAAACATATTACAGGTTAGTGCTATATTTTATAATAATTAATTAAATTAAAATTGCAGTTAGTAAATGGGGTTAATTAATTTTTTAATCAGGATAATAAAATGGGATTAACGTACAGTACAATACGAAACTGGCAGATATTTCATCATCACTGCCACGTGGCACGTGATCAGATCAGGAAGAAATAACTTAGCACGGCTGGTGTTACGTTTTTAATTTGGGCCTTTGATAATGGGTCTTTACAATTTTCTCACATAAAAAAATTACTTGGGTTCAAATAATGGGCCTGAACCTGAAACGAAATGGGCCTGGGCTTGCCAATCATTTTTGCTTTTTTAAATTTTTTTATAATGGAATTTGAAGTTAAGCTTGAACAAAATAGTTTTTTTAATTATAATTAGTGGATCAAATGTAATGATTAGTTGATGGAGGATTTGTCAATTATATTGCAGCCGAATATCATTCGTTAGTACAAATGAACATTCGAGGGCGGGTAATTCTTAACTCGTCCCACCAACGTCTTGGATGAGACCAACAAAAATTTGTAATTAATAAGATATAGAGGTGTAAATGTAAAAGCTCAAAACTTCTATTAGAGATTTCAAGTATTTTAGCCAAATCATAATAATAATATTCAATATTTTATTAACCAGAAGAATTAATGATTCGAATATTACATTCTTTACACGTTTATTTAAAACGCTCAAATAGGAGTTATGAGAATATTTCGGAACTTAAAACAGGAAAAACTACTACCACGTAAATATTATTAACTTGTATTCAAAATTGACGAAACAAAAATAGATAATTGCTTACCTGGTCTCTTACTGTTCAGAATCTGAATTTTGGTCGTCTTGATTTGAAATGGTTAATAAAAAATGAATTAGCTATACTAACTCATAAAAACTATCAACATCTTATCACTGAAACGAAAAATCAAATGATTGTAAAAAATATAAAACGAACGATGAAGTAAAATTTTAATGAAATCCATATGTTAGTGCATTTCTTGTCCGTTTTACTGAAAATGTTAATATTTTCTTTTTTGATTAGTGGTCTATCAAATACAAAACACTAAATAAAATCATAATGATGATTTAATCACAATAAGTATACATTCACATAAACATATAGTGTTGAGTTCTTTACTGTTTTGCCCGAAATAGGTATTCATCTGTCTTACCATATTAATCTTTTCATGTTATATCTATAAATTTTTTTTTTCAGGAATCATACATGTAGATTCATTTATTGCAAAATAAATGATGTTATAGAAATTACAAATCTATTTTTAGAATAAGAAACTGAGGAACTTCCCACTACCGCCCACCTCAGCTGTAACACAGACTAACACAATTATTATAGCCTGCTACTATAATTCGACACAAGGATTAACCATTTAACCGTTACCAAACTTATGGAGAAGCACACGACTAACCAATAGCAAAGCAAACCTAACACACCTCTTAGTCACAGCTAAATCAAATTAAACAACCTAGCATCATAAGAAAAATAACAGTGCTTCAGACTAAAAAAATTTTTTAGTATTTCAAGCATAATACCCAGAGCTTCGAACTCTTACAGAAATTTATCTCCACCATCTTTCCACTTAACCATCAGTGCACAATTTCCTCAAAGAACCAATGAACATTTCAATGCGATATTAAGTATAGTAGGAGATGATAATGAAACGAGATAGAATAAAACACAATGATTTAAAATGCATAATTAATACATCGATTCTAGATAGATATAACGCAAGAAGAATGAAAAAAAAATTAGGTCGACTGAGATGATATATATTGGAGTAAAATAAGATGAAATAAACTAAAATAGAATGAAATAAAAATAAATAAACATATAAAATGATGATAGAACATCGAATAGGTAACACAATTAAACTAATAACGAAAATAAACAAATTGGTTATTGGCTCAATCGGCAACCTGTATTTAATCGTCAAAGAATCATAAGACCATCTAATATTGTTGTTTATTATCAATTTAACTTTGCTTTATTGTAACAGAGAGAGGTTGAGGGATTCTTACACTGGGTCAGAGTCTAGGACACTATTTTTTCACTAAGGTTCGCAATGGTTCCCGGTTCTTAGATTTTTTGAGTTTTCAGAGGTTGGGTTGGGGTTCCGGCATGGTGGTGCTACTGAGCTCCACCATCTTATTCTCCTTATCTGGCACTTCTCCCTCTCGACCAAACCAATTTTTGTTTGTTCCTGGTGGAAATTACTTTAAATTATGGGAAATAGGTGTTTTATGGAGAAATGAGGGGAAAATTTTGGCCTTACCAGTAATTTTCATTCTCCAATGCAGTAGCTTAGCCCAGCTCCATCCTTCCTTTCACACGGTTTGCAGCTTCTCTCAGTTATCCTACATCAGGAACGCTTAGGCAGCTAAAGATGAAGAAACGGGAAGAACAAAAAGAAAATTTGGGTTTACCAACGTGTTTTGGGGTTCCGGCACGGTGGCGTCAGTGTCTCTCTGGTGGCTGAGCTCTCATTCGGCCACCCTTCTTCTTCTTCTTCTCCGGTAACCCTGTGTCGGCTAGGGTTTTGGGGCTGAATGAAGAGATATCTAAATACCTCTCTTCAATCAATTTGGATCGTCCATCCTTGGAAGCGCAGAGGCACGTGGACTATCTGATCATGCTTATTTGAAAAATTTATCTGGGTCGTTCGATATAAGGGACAGTGAGGCACGTGGGTCGTCCGATCGAGCTTATTTAGGAAGTAGATATGGGTTGTTCACGCACACGGGAGTGACCCCGAACCGTTCGATCGATCTAACACACAGATTGCCAACGTGGACTTCCTGTGTGGAGCCCGTATAAAAGTCTAAAATTAAAAAAAAATGATTTATTATCTAAATGCGAAAGCGAACAATAAAGTTAGGGTTTACATTCTTTACACAGTAAATTGAAATCCCCAATAGGGATACGGGAATGTTCCTTCTACATTAGTTCATAAAAGAAAAAAAAATTAACAATAATTAAAAATAAATAAATAGATATCTTAGGGGTTAACCTCCACTAGCACTTGAATAGAGTTTGGAATGTGAACTACTCACAACCTTTTTGCTGATCAAGATCTGGATTTTGGTCTTTTTGATCTAAAATGATTAATGAAATGGTGAATTACACTAATTCAATAAGAATATCACTCCAATCACTGATACGAAAAACTGAAGGTTGGTAAAAATCATAAGATAACTAATGGGAGCCCTTTATTCAAGCAAACTCGTTTGACAATAGCGAAAATTGTTTATTCCATACTTATTGTAACACCCCAAAATA